CAACCCGGTGAGTGAACAGCAATATGAAAGCGGCTTCACGAGACTAATGATGAGCAAATATACAACAGAGAGAGAATTAAATTCAGCGCTTTTATTTCCAACATGCGCTCATTCATGGCTGTATTATTTAATTCATGCAAAGTTATGTCTTTATTGGGACACGACTTGACGGATTATTTTACGTTCATCTCTATTTCTTCGAGCCAAGCTGCATAAACTGCATATCAGGCATTTATGTAATACATCTAATTTGTGCATTAATGGCTGTTATGTTAAATAAAGTTTACTAACTACAGCAAATGAAGTACCTGTGCATGCAGTTGTTGTCGTCTCGACGCCGGTGTCCAATAGCCATCCTGCGCTCAATTCTCAAAACATCCACAAGATGACGGCGTTTATCGGTGAATCCGATATTACAAAACCGATATCCGATTATTGTAAAATGCTTAAATATCGGGAAATCGATATATTGGTTGATCTCGGTTGATCTCTAATTAATATATATTTATATATATATATATATATATATATAAACATAAATTATTGTATTGCATAATGCACCATTTATACCACACATGCACAGCATATTTCAAGGTTTCATCTGATCCTGCGCGCAATTCTCAAAACACCCACAAGATGGCGGCGTTTATCGGTGAATCCGATATTACAAAACCGATATCCGATTATTGTAAAATGCTTAAATATCGGGAAATCGATATATTGGTTGATCTCGGTTGATCTCTAATTAATATATATTTATATATATATATATATAAACATAAATTATTGTATTGCATAATGCACCATTTATACCACACATGCACAGCATATTTCAAGGTTTCATCTTGAACCCTTGTACCTCGGGTTTGATGGTAATTATTCAAATCATTATGTCCAGCATAATGAATTCACGCTGCAATCTTTCATGAACCAATCAGTCAATAAATACAAAACAATCAACAGGTTATGCACGCATTTATTAAAATCAACTAATTCAATAATATTCATTATGCTAGCTTAAAAAAGTAGACCATTCTCATTGGTTAGCATATTTGTAATGGGTAATTTGAAATGTAATTTTACTCTTTTGATCATAATTTAAAATAATTAATAGTAATATTTATAACTTACAATTGGTTCCTTATGAAAATTCCCACTGGAAACCTTTATATTTGGCTTAATGGCAATACAACTTTATTGAAAATTTGTAAAAGTCATTTTATAAATTATATATTACGTTTCAGGGTATTTATAGCCTATGAATTTATGTTTTTATTAAGTTTTGCTAAATGCTTGCTAAAGACATAACAGATTGTAATTTTGGTGCAAAAAAAAGTTTTTATTGCCTCAACACTTACATTATTATACTACTCTTCAGTATATTACAGTATATTATTAAACATGATATTCCTTGAATCATAAATAAACAGGGGAAAACAAAATAATTTTTTAAAGAAAATACTTGTTCATCAAAACAATATAAACAGATTGAACCGTGTCCCCTTATAGTAATTAAACTGACCCCTGTACACCGTTGACCCTTTAACCAAACCTGACCCGTATCACACCTCAGTAGCAGTAAAAGTGTTGTGCATTAACACAAGCTTTCAATCATTTTATAACATCTGTGAAAATCATTTGTAGATTCTCAATAAGTGCTTGATCATATAGAATTGAAAGTTTAATGACGTTCGTAAGCATTTGAACTTACATGAAATAATGATTTGTTAAGCATATCTAAAGTTTAATACGTTTATTAGTTAACATTAACAAGCACATTATCTCACGTTTCTAACTCTTTGAATGTATATTAACTAATGATCCATTAAGCATTATATAATGTTTGGTAATGATTTATTAATGAAAGTTATTATAAAGTGTTACCGAATGTTATTGTTGTATTTAATCTTTCAACAAATATTGCCTAAATATCTCTATTCCTCAAATGACACTCGTGCTTTTTAATTAAGACTGTAAACCTGGCTTTGGTGGAAGATGTTCCTGACAGCTTAAGTGAAATATTATTTGATGTATTATCACAGTCAATTCGCCTGGCTCTCAAACTTACATTAATACAACAATAAAAAAAGATAAAATCTCAAATATAATCATTTTGAAAGTTTTATTTTGTAGCCAGAGGGGAGAGAGGCCTGTAATGAATCACATAAAACAGAGATGCAAAAGCAAAAGAGACACATATATAAAAAGGGAAGACATGTGACAATAGATTGCACGCAGAGAAGACCGCTGTAAACCAGAGAACAACATGTGAACATGTTGTGATGAAACATTAGATCAACCAAATTTGACACTGAAGAGAGCATTAAGCCTTTAATAAGTGAAACAGTAAGGCATGGAGTCAACGACGTGAGGTGAAGTATGGGAATCTGTGCTCTGCATTTAACAGGTGAAGAAAAAGAGAAGCTTTTGTCTTCCAAAAGAGAATTAAAAATATAACCACATATTCTGAATTGTATTTTCTTCATGAAAAAGTAAGAATCGTTTATTTAAAGGAGGAACTGGCAACATGATGTGCTCTAGTTAAAGGTACACTAAGTTTTTTTTTTCCTCAGTAAAAAAGCAGTCGCCCCTAATGAAATGAAAATGACATGTCATGTACACATGAGATAAAACTCACTCCAGTTACACCAGTAGACTTATAAAAGCTGTTTTGTGTACATTGAACATGTCACCTCAATACCAGCAGTAGTAGCTGGGTTTCTCAGGAACCACATTACTGGACTTTTGTATGTAAAATCTATATATTTATCATTGTAAATTGAGAATTTGTACATTTGGCATTGGTGACTGAAAACTCCAGACCACTAGGTGTCAGTATAAGTCCAAAAAATCTTTAAAACATGGAAACTCTGAGCATGTGACCGAGAGACCTGGCCCCAAACTCCCTTTATAAATTCCTGAAGTTGCCATGCCCTTCAGAATTCACATTTTGCATGAGGTTCAAAGGTAAAGTTCTGGTAAATGCTATTAAAATGGGGAAGATCAAGAGTGTGATGAGTCTTGCATAGCTGAATACCCTCTCAAATGTGTATGTGTTTTTGACATTTTGACTTTTTATTTCAGGAAAACATCAAGCTTTTTCTGAATGTTGTCAAAAGAGTCTATTCCCATGTAGTCGGCCTGGCCCTGCTCCCACCGCTGCTTGCGCTCCGCTGAGGACACGAGCGGCTGAACACGCTCCTCGCTCTCCTCAGCTTCCTCCTGTGAGCAAGAGAACAATCCAAGTTATTACAAACATGAAATTAATGAATGCCATTCAAAATGGGTAATCTTTCAGTTTTGTAAGTTTTAAAGAATGACTGCAATCAAAAGCGCAGAAAGACATACTGCAGTGGTTTTGAAAAACCAGACTCTAAAGCAGTGGTTCTCTACCGGCCTGAAGATGACTTATTTATAATATGGTCAAATGAGCCTTAAAATAAGCCAGAACAACTACTTCTTTTAATTATTATAATCCTTTGAAAAACCATATTCCCGCAAAAGGAAAACAAACACGAATAACACATATAACATGAAAAACATGTATATTTGAGGTTGAGTACTTTTGTGTGTGTGTGTGTGTGTATATATATATATATACACATACACACACAGTATATATATATATATGTGTGTGTGATCTATCTATCTGATATTTAACATGAATTTAAATTTTTCTAGTTTCTAGCCAAGCTTTTATTGAGTTAAATTTGTAAGTTTTTTTTTTGTTGTAGTTGTTTTGTTTTTTTTTGCTTTGAAGAAACCTGGATTTAAAAATGTGATGTCTGTGATTTCATATAAAATGAATAAAACACATAATTAAAATGAATTTAAATTTTCTAGTTATCACAATCTCAAGAAAAACAAATGATTTGGTAGAAATTGCGAGTAATTTTTGTTTTTAATTAGGACCTTTTTTTTTTTTTGCTTTGAAGAAACCTGGATTTAAAAATGTGATGTCTGTGATTTCATATAAAATGAATAAAACACATAATTAAAATGAATTTAAATTTTCTAGTTATGACAATCTCAAGAAAAACAAATGATTTGGTAGAAATTGCGAGTAATTTTTGTTTTTAATTAGGACCCCCCCAGTAAATCCCAAACAATATGGTATTTTGGGGAAAAAGTCTTGATTTTTGAAGTGTTTTCAAAACATGGAAAATCATGTAAATTAACCCTTAAATGCATGAATGTTTCGCCAATCATTATTACATATTCAGGTCTTTAGCGACCCGGAACTATATATACAGCACGGATGGATCTCTAACTGCTGCAATAGCAAAAAACTCTTGATATTTTAAGAACAATTACAGAAGAATAAAAAAGCATATTTTGTTGCCTTTTGAAACTTAAAAGGGTTACATTTGAGCAGATGATTTTACCGTCGCTGTCATCGTCAGAGCGCACTTCCACACTACATTCAGCATCTGCCTCATATTCACGATCTCAAAATCAAAAGCGCAGAAAGACATACTGCAGTGGTTTTGAAAAACCAGACTCTAAAGCAGTGGTTCTCTACCGGCCTGAAGATGACTTATTTATAATATGGTCAAATGAGCCTTAAAATAAGCCAGAACAACTACTTCTTTTAATTATTATAATCCTTTGAAAAACCATATTCCCGCAAAAGGAAAACAAACACGAATAACACATATAACATGAAAAACATGTATATTTGAGGTTGAGTACTTTTGTGTGTGTGTGTGTGTGTATATATATATATATATACACATACACACACAGTATATATATATATATGTGTGTGTGATCTATCTATCTGATATTTAACATGAATTTAAATTTTTCTAGTTTCTAGCCAAGCTTTTATTGAGTTAAATTTGTAAGTTTTTTTTTTGTTGTAGTTGTTTTGTTTTTTTTTGCTTTGAAGAAACCTGGATTTAAAAATGTGATGTCTGTGATTTCATATAAAATGAATAAAACACATAATTAAAATGAATTTAAATTTTCTAGTTATGACAATCTCAAGAAAAACAAATGATTTGGTAGAAATTGCGAGTAATTTTTGTTTTTAATTAGGACCCCCCCAGTAAATCCCAAACAATATGGTATTTTGGGGAAAAAGTCTTGATTTTTGAAGTGTTTTCAAAACATGGAAAATCATGTAAATTAACCCTTAAATGCATGAATGTTTCGCCAATCATTATTACATATTCAGGTCTTTAGCGACCCGGAACTATATATACAGCACGGATGGATCTCTAACTGCTGCAATAGCAAAAAACTCTTGATATTTTAAGAACAATTACAGAAGAATAAAATAAAGCATATTTTGTTGCCTTTTGAAACTTAAAAGCGTTCAATTTGAGCAGATGATTTTACCGTCGCTGTCATCGTCAGAGCGCACTTCCACACTACATTCAGCATCTGCCTCATATTCCATCCAGCATCAAATGACAGTGACATTTATATTTCATTGCGTACAGTAATTGCTCTGCAGTAAAGCCATTCAAAGCAGTTCAATTTTTGCTGATGATATTCGTTTGTTTTATGCCTGCGGTAATTATGAATCATACGTCACGTCATCATTGTGTATCAAAGAGTGCCACCTTGAGGAAAAAAGATGCATTGCACATATTGAGTTATCAGATATGTAAATGTAGTTGCGCAGGAAAAATACATACACATTTACATACCTGGGGTCTCTAGCGACCCTATACACTTTTTACTAAAAAATAATCAGAAAACTGGCATTCTTTTATATTTTACTATTTTTTTCTTGTTATATTGTTTATAATTAATAGATTGAGGAATACTAAGAAAGTTGATGTCTAACTTTAAAAAATGAAGGAGGGAGAGGGTAGAGAATGATGTCCCGGGTCGCTAAAGACTCGAGGTATGCATTTAAGGGTTAATAATAAATATCTATTTATTTTCAGTAAATCCCTAACAAAATATCCTTCTTTGAACAACATTCTCACAGTTATGAAAAAAAAAACCCTGGATATACAGTATGAGAGAGACTACATTTAAAAGTGTGATTTCTAAACATCATGAAAAATCATGTACGTTTATAATAAATATATAAAATAGCAGTGTGAATAATGTATCTTATTACAGTTAACAACAAAAAAGTGCAAGTATGACAGTCAGGACATGGCCATGTAAACTCAAAGAAAGGGTTATTTTCTTGTTCTGTATGTTTAGGCCTGACCTCACAGCCGGAGTTGAAGGGCTGGTCTCCATACTCTCGGATCAGCATGGGCAGCACCTCAGCGCTGTACAGAGCCCACCACTGCTGCAGGAGGCCGGGCTGAGACGAGGCCTGCACGTCTCCTCTCACTCTCCTCTGTGTGGTGTTATACACGTAGCTCCACGGCTTCATCTGGCCCAGGAAGTGCACAACCTTTGCATTTGCACCATATCTGTGGACAGAAACACATTTTCAGCATGTATTCCTGAAAGATAGCAGGTGTCCATAACGTATATTAATGCATTTCAATGCTGGGGTGAAAATAGGTCAAGTAATACTTTTACAGGTTAAAATTCCTGATTGGAATCTGCTCTGACATTTTCTGTGAGTTAAAATCTACACAATGGATTTAAATATGGTGTAAGCGTGAAGTGAGAATACCATGCAATTTGTGACCCTCACACTCTCAGCCCGTCTCACACTCTTCTTCCTCAGCTCCTGTAACCCGATGTTACGGCATAAGCTGCCTTCATGTGACCCGTGTGTGTATCCTGTTACCGTCCCATCATAAGGCCAGCACATGCCAGCATCAGTGACAGAGAGCCGCTGCTGAAGTCAAGGTGTCACACTTACTGTTTAAACGCAGGAAGGTACGTGTAGATGGCTATGCTGCTCATGTTATAGATGAAAGGAAGGTGTTTGTTGATGTCGGCTGTTGCCCAGTCGCTGAAGAAGCCATTCAGAACTCCTTGGTCTCCTCCTGTTGAACAAATGATTCATAAATATGTCACTTCCAATGGAATTACTGTAGCTCGCTTTCATTTATCAGTCATTTATTTAGAACACATAAAATCATTTCAAATAATTTTATTTAAAAGTCCTTCATTTAAGTTACTAAAGTTGAAGTGTGTAATTTCTGCAACACCAGTGTCATAAAGTGTAATTGCAATAAATAAACAATGAATAAATAAAATAATTAAAAATAATAAATGGTTAAACAAATAATTAAATAAGCACGCAATTTAATGAATAAATAATTAAAAATGAATAAATACAAAAACTTTTTTTTTTTTTAAATAAACAATTAAACGAATAAATAAAAAATACATAACGGATTAAACAAACAAATAAATAGACTAAATTAAATCAATCAATAAGATAAAATAAATACAAATGAATAAATAATTACCAAAATAAGATAATTTATGAAAATAAAAAAACGAATAAACGAATACTTTAAAAAAACATTTGATTAATCTGTTGATAGAGGCACAGAGTATACACTTTTAAGGAATCACCTTAAACATAGCTTTTTAACACACACACACACACACACACAAGCCAACAAAATCAAGTATTAAAGTTACATTTTGAATTCTCATTTTAATGTTTTGGTTGGTTGGGTGTTGCTATGAGATTGCTAAGGAGTTCTCCTTGCTGTCCAAGCGGTTGCTAGAGTGATCTGGGTGGTTGCTAGGTAGTTAATAAGGTGTTTTGACCATAGATATGTATAGACAGATGACCCATTCGACTGCGCCAAGCAGGTAGACACGTAGACACTTCATCTTTAATGGTCAACTTAAAGGGTTAGTTCACCCAAAAATGAAAATTAGCCCATAAATTACTCGCCCTCAAGGCATCCTAGCTGTATATGACTTTCTTCTTTCAGACGAATCCAGTCGGAGTTATATAAAAAAATTGACTTTGATCTTTCAAGCCGTTTCATGCTACTCAGCGGGTGTTGCATGCATCAGTCCAAAAGAAGTTAAATAAAAAGCGCCCATCCTTAATAAAAAGTGTCCCACACAGTTCCGGGGGGGTGAACAAAGTCCTCTTGTAGCGAATCAATGCGTTTTTGTAAGAAAAATAACCATATTTAAAACGTAATAATCAAATTAATCTAGCTTGCACTCACTGTTGTACACTGGAAGCAGTTCCGAGCGGATGACGTATGAGGTCAGTGCTGCGCATGCGCCGCTCAGAAGTGACACAAGCGGAATAATCGGTTATCGGTATCGGCCAAAATTTTCATATCGGTGCATCCCTAATCAAAACAAAACAACGGTCACTTATTAGAAGTACAAAACGAGGATTTGTAAAGAAGACTGTCGGAGGATTTCGATATAAGCCAAGAGGAGACTGGTTTTCCTTTGCTGAAGTAAGGAAACTTTGCTTCCTTTGCTCCTGTTAACAAACGTTGGTTTTCACGAGACTCACTGGCGCATGCGCAACGCTGAACTCATACGTTATCCGCCCGGAGCTGCTTCCGTGTACAACTGATGGCGCAAGCTACATTCAAGTGATTATTACGTTTTGAATATGGATATTTTTCTTACAAAAACGCATCGATTCGCTACAGGAGGACTTTGTTCACCCCCCGGAGCCGTTTTATGGATGGGCGCTTTTTATTTCACTTCTTTTGGACTGATGCACTGCAACACCCACTGACTGCAATTAAACAGCTTGAAAGCTCAAAGACAATTTTTTAAATAACTCCCAACTGGATTCGTCTGAAAGAAGAAAGTCATATACACCTAGGCTGCCTTGAGGGTGAATAATTTATGGGCTAATTTTCATTTTTGGGTGAACTAACCCTTTAATGCCATTCACCATAATCAATGAATAATCGAAGATGCCACAATCCAGCACAGCCGATGCCTGTAAAAACCATCTGGGTTTAAATTCCAGAAGAAACGGGATAACCTTTCACATGTGGGAATGTGTTGGTTTGTGTTTTTAAACGTATTAACTCAATATTACACATTTTCAAACACTGGTAACTTTTAATGTTGTGTTAGCTAACGCGCTCATCTTGTTGTATGGTGTTAGTTAGGTCAACACAACAACACGTTGTTGCCACTGTACTCGAGGGTTCGCAGACCATCGGATGCTATGTTAAAACACGTCAAGTTGACCCTTATATGGAGGACAGCTTACGTATAGCGGCCCATAGAAACAGTCGCTAATGAGAAATCTACATATACATATCTATGGTTTTGACTGTTTTGTATGTGATGAAATCTGATACATTTGTTCAGACAGAGACAAACATTGTCCAAAACTGCTGACAACATAGTGAATGTCACAGTTCACTAAATCAGGACAGTGAGTGAAAATTAGTGTGTCCAGATACAGCTCCAAACAATATTGCATGGATCATATGACGTCATATATACACTCTGCCCTAAATGATGGGGAAACCCTACCTGAAACCTATTTAGCAAACACCTGTAGTACTCAGCCGTGTAGGATGGCCATTTTACATCCCAGGGAAATTCAAAAGTGTGAAGAGCATGCTGTTTTTGAGTAGTACAGAGTATAAGGAATGTGTCAAGGTGCTTACTAGTTGAAAAAAGAGCCTAGTTCCTGCATGCTTGTTCAAAGGTCACTGAAGACACGACACACTCCACAGAGTCACATGACACAGAGATATACATCTCACAGCATGATGCATACTGCACTAAACACACGCAGACACTGAAATAGCTGCACTATTAAAAACAAATGCTGAAAAATCTGTTTAGCCTGAATTGAGATCATCTATGTGTCTGCTGTGCAGTGCCGTGGTGGACACAGAATCCAGGAGTGTAGGAGGACACGGGAAATATTAATAGCACGTCTGTAGACATGCAGACAGCTGGTCAACATAAAATGAAAATTTGGCTATTATATACTCATGCTCATGTCTTCTGAAACTTACATGATTTTCTTTTTTTTTCTTATGTGGAGCCCAACAGGAGTTATTTACAATGGCTGTTCTTCTTTTCCATACAATGAAAGTGAATAGTGACATGGCTGTCATGAAAGATTTACGGCAAAAATCTGACTTAAATATTAGTATGTTACTCACGCTATTGCATTGTATGGCTTTGGATAACTTGACAGTATAACATAAAATTATATAGAACATTTTTATGATACTTTTATAGTGTTTTTGTTCATTTTAGAGCTTAACAGCTTCTGTTCCCCATCCACTTTCATTATATGTTGTCAACTTTTGTTGACAAATTTTGTCTTCCGTCTTTTGAATGTAACACTTTACAATAAGGTCTCATTACTTAAGGTTAGTTAATGCATTAATTCAAATTAACAAACAATTAGCATTAAATCTGTTAAAGTATTTATGCATCTTTTGCTATGCTCAGATTCAGGGAAAACAGAGTTTAAAAATGATTAAAACAAAGATTTAAAAAAATGGATTTAAAATAATAAAAATGAAAAACAATGCAAACAGTTTTAGTGTAGTTTCTGGATTTTGCCCGTGGAGGGCAGAGTAGGCCTTTTTTCTAAAATCACAATGAAACCGAAGTGATGCCATGCAGAAATGGATGTAGGGTGGTAAAAACCAAAGGGCAGGACTTTGTTCTATCTATCAGTTGTTGATTGGATGGAAGCAGATCTGAATGCGAGCTTGAGGCTGAATGTAGAATAAAGAGGCGGTATTTAAGAGGACTAAATGATTGGAGAAGTCCAGCATACTGTAGGTCACCAAGTCTGTTAAAAGATCGAGTTATGATATTTTGATAAAAAAAAAAAAGTATTATATGCATGGATCAATTTTCTTCACAATAAGATCCATAACATGAATTTGGAAAATAGGTGTGATGAATTTTCATATCATGCCAAATTAAAAGGCTGTTTTTATCTAGTCAATTTATTTGTTCAATATCTGCCTGTTACCATGTGGGCTACGCTTATAGTCCAGTGCCATCCTCTGCGCTAAAACACATGAATATTTGCCCCAGGACAGGCCATGTGCACGCTATAAGGAAATGAATATAGTCAGTACAAACCATATACAGCATCTGCACTGCTAGCCAAAGAAGATTTTCAAACTCACCTAATAATGCTACGTTCCTACAGCAGATTAACGAACACGCTGGAGCAATAATAAATGAATGTGTTTGCAAAGCATGCTGGTTTACCAGCTAAGCCAATCTAGCGCCATTTAATTTGGCCGTGCCTCCAGGAGCCCAGAAACATGGTACAGAATCCTCCCCTGGGCTTTCCTTGTGCAAGTGGCTATACAAACATTACTGTGGTCTTGGAGGGTTCATATTGAGAGGATGATCTGAACGGTGCAGGAATGTGCATAGTCTTTGGCTGGTTTACATTGGCAGAGGATGAGAACAAGGCCACATGATAGCCTCAGGTCATCAGGATTGTAATAAACAAGGAAATGGAAAGATGCTTGTTTGATTCACCGTTTCAAAGATTCAACCACTCTGCAGGTACGAGAGAACACACTGATGCTTTGTCTTTGGATGGCAGTTGTCTGAACGCTCAACAAAACTGGAAGTGATTTGGCTAGTTTATTAGTCTGATGCAAAACACTCTTGAAACTGCTTGTCACGGCGATTATTACTAAACATACTCAATGTTCTTTGAATTTCTTTAGTTTAGCCCCACCACTCACCTAACCCCCCAAAAAACTGAGCCTTCATAGTGTCATTTTGAAATTTTAAAAATTTAAGCATGACTTAACATTACAAATAATATATAAATCACCTAGCACACCCTAGCAACCACCAAACAACCATACAGAACACCCTAGCAACCACCTAGAACACGCTTATACCATCTACAGTAGAACACCCTAGCAACAACATGCAATGCCCTTACAAGTTACAACCATACAGAACAGCCGAGCAACCACATAGAAATGATCTTATAACCCTCCAGGACACCCTAACAAAAAACAATGCAAACAGTTTTAGTGTAGTTTCTGGATTTTGCCCGTGGAGGGCAGAGTAGGCCTTTTTTCTAAAATCACAATGAAACCGAAGTGATGCCATGCAGAAATGGATGTAGGGTGGTAAAAACCAAAGGGCAGGACTTTGTTCTATCTATCAGTTGTTGATTGGATGGAAGCAGATCTGAATGCGAGCTTGAGGCTGAATGTAGAATAAAGAGGCGGTATTTAAGAGGACTAAATGATTGGAGAAGTCCAGCATACTGTAGGTCACCAAGTCTGTTAAAAAATCGAGTTATGATATTTTGATTAAAAAAAAAAAAAAAGTATTATATGCATGGATCAATTTTTTTCACAATAAGATCCATAACATGAATTTGGAAAATAGGTGTGATGAATTTTCATATCATGCCAAATTAAAAGGCTGTTTTTATCTAGTCAATTTATTTGTTCAATATCTGCCTGTTACCATGTGGGCTACGCTTATAGTCCAGTGCCATCCTCTGCACTAAAACACATGAATATTTGCCCCAGGACAGGCCATGTGCACGCTATAAGGAAATGAATATAGTCAGTACAAACCATATACAGCATCTGCACTGCTAGCCAAAGAAGATTTTCAAACTCACCTAATAATGCTACGTTCCTACAGCAGATTAACGAACACGCTGGAGCAATAATAAATGAATGTGTTTGCAAAGCATGCTGGTTTACCAGCTAAGCCAATCTAGCGCCATTTAATTTGGCCGTGCCTCCAGGAGCCCAGAAACATGGTACAGAATCCTCCCCTGGGCTTTCCTTGTGCAAGTGGCTATACAAACATTACTGTGGTCTTGGAGGGTTCATATTGAGAGGATGATCTGAACGGTGCAGGAATGTGCATAGTCTTTGGCTGGTTTACATTGGCAGAGGATGAGAACAAGGCCACATGATAGCCTCAGGTCATCAGGATTGTAATAAACAAGGAAATGGAAAGATGCTTGTTTGATTCACCGTTTCAAAGATTCAACCACTCTGCAGGTACGAGAGAACACACTGATGCTTTGTCTTTGGATGGCAGTTGTCTGAACGCTCAACAAAACTGGAAGTGATTTGGCTAGTTTATTAGTCTGATGCAAAACACTCTTGAAACTGCTTGTCACGGCGATTATTACTAAACATACTCAATGTTCTTTGAATTTCTTTAGTTTAGCCCCACCACTCACCTAACCCCCCAAAAAACTGAGCCTTCATAGTGTCATTTTGAAATTTTAAAAATTTAAGCATGACTTAACATTACAAATAATATATAAATCACCTAGCACACCCTAGCAACCACCAAACAACCATACAGAACACCCTAGCAACCACCTAGAACACGCTTATACCATCTACAGTAGAACACCCTAGCAACAACATGCAATGCCCTTACAAGTTACAACCATACAGAACAGCCGAGCAACCACATAGAAATGATCTTATAACCCTCCAGGACACCCTAACAAACACCTAGCAATGCAATAGCAAGAAATGAGCAACAGCCTTACAACTATCTACAACAGCAACTGCTTTACAATCATCCAGAACACCCTAGAAATCACCTAGTAACCCTTTTTACTATCTAGAACACCCTAACAACCATCTTACCTAGCAATCAACTAGCAATGCCCTAGCAAGCACCTAGCAACACCCTTAGACAAACTAGAACACCTCAGCAACCACCTAACAACTTACCCAGAACATCCTAGTAATCACCTAAAAATGCCTTAGAAACCACCTAGCAATGCCCTTACAACTATCTAGAATACCCTATCAACCACCTTTCAACCATCCATAACACCCTAGCAACCACATAGCAATGTCATAGCAAGCACACAGAATGCCCTAGCAACACACTTACAAACATCTCTAGCACACCCTAGCAACCACCTTATAACCATTCAGAACATCCTAGCAACTGCCTAAAACATCCTAGTAGCCACCTAACAATGTCATTACAACCATCTAGAACACTCAAGGAATCACCTAGAAACACCCTTGCAATGCCCTTTCGACCACCTAGACCATCCTACACATTCTTACAATCACTTAAAAATGATCTTGTAAGCAACCAGAACACCCTAGCAACACCCTAGAAACCACCTAGCATTGCCCTTACAACCATCCACAATACCCTAGCAATCACCTAGCAACACCCTTACAAGTACAGTATCTAAAACACTCTAATAACAACCAACTTACAACCATCCAGAACACCCTAGCAACCACATACAATCATCTAGGACCCCCTAGCAATTGCCTAGCAACACCCTTACAACTACAGCATTTAAAACACCCTAGCAACCAACTTGCAACCATTCCAAACACACTATCAACCACCCTAACAATGCCATAGCAACCACCCAGAACACCCTAGCAACCATGCACCA